GTCGCGTCCACTGCGTAAGTCCCTCCCAGGACTTCCCCGAAATCCACAGTCTTCTCTTCAGCAACTGTATACACACAGGCAAAACGGCAAGCAAGAGCCACCAGAATTACTCAGCAGGCGAAGCTCGGCAGCATCCTGCATTTGGGCCCTTTACGTTGCCTCCGCAGCCATATCTCCTGCTGTGACGAGTCCCTAACACGAACCATCGAAGTTGAGTCTCTTGTTTATGATATTCTTGGTGTTGCTATTTGGGTTGTCTTCAAGGCTGCCCTTGGCGAGGTACAGCGTAGCCAGTTGCACCACAACTGATCCGCCCAGGCTACCGGTGTAGAGCGTGGGGGCGAGAACTTTGAGCAGCCAGGCCTCAACGTCGGCCCACGTGGTCACGGCACCAGCTGCGATAGTGCAGCTAGTGGTTTCAGGCCGGGTGTACACGTTTACACGCACATTGCGCAGCTCCACGGTTCTCGAGAAACTCGAAATACTCCGCCACCCCCCCGAGTATGGCTTGAGAAAAAGGCTGTTTCCCTCTTTGAAAGGGGTGTTCGCCAGGTGCGATCTCACAGTTTCCGTCAATTCATGACGTAGGGGAACACAGTAATAGAAAATGCCCCCGCAAATCGAAGTGCCCCCAAGCAGAACCAGGATCAGCAGCCAGTTCAGGAATGAGTGCCTAATTTCAAAAGACAAGTTGGCCGTCTCTGAGAGCCCAACCTCCACGTAGCCACTGGAAGGAGTCGAGTCACTGGCGGCCGAGGGCTCGCGGGCGTGATCTGAGGTCGACCGGACGGAGGCCACCATCTTCGCACCTCATGAGGGCTCCGCACCCTCAATGCACTTCTTGGGAAGTTTAGTTGACTTTGCGGCCATATTCACGTTAAGGGACAATGAAAAATTCCATAAACAGGAAGCTGAAGATGCTGATACCCGCTGCGTCTAATAAGGCAATATTTGCACTCAGGTGCACGGGAAAAAACGGAAAAAAGCGAAAAATTGCCGTTTTCGTCATACCAAATAAAACTTTTGGGGAAGCCCCAAGCAAAATTGTGTAGCTGGGGCTCCCGCGCTGGCGCCCTCTGCCCACCCGGTGGATCTTAGCTTTTAGGTTTGGTGGCCGCCAATCCGCCCCTTCTCATTGCACACTATGCGCATTCATAATGCTTGAAAAGCATATGGAACTCCCCACGTAAGGTAAGCGAGCGCCTCGTGATTTTGGTTCGGTGACCAATGGTTCGTTTCCTAGACTCCACAGACGGAGAGCAAAGAAGGCAGGAAGTCAGGGGGGCCACACAGTGAACAGGGCTCTAAACGCAGCGTGGAATTAAGATGTCTCAATTGATCCTTGGTTACACAAAAAAAAAAGACAAGCAAACCGAACCTTCGGTATATCTTTACTTTGCTGCAGCTTTGATTTTTACGTTTTTGCTTACATTGAAGAGTGCCCCGCCGCTGCTGAGCAATCTCAGGCACCGGGAGGACCACCCCAAAGATGGGCACTCTACAGTCAGTGAGCACACTACCAAAACGTTTACGGTTCGTATTGTGACTCTTTGTATTATATCAGTTCTTAATGCCCTTTCTATATTACGAAGAATTGGCTGCTTCTTACGTACAGATCGACGTAGACAAGAGCGTCGAGCTTTGCGCGGCTCGCTAGACATAAATGCCTTCTTTGAAGGGGGAGCAATCTCGAAAGATAGTTCGCACGCTCTCCTGGCTTCCTTTGCAAGTGAATTACTATTTTTTGAGTGAAGAATGTTTGTATATAGCTGAAAAACTTTGAAGCAGGGGCTGCACCGACAGTTGTCGCCTGTGGTGAGCCGCTTGGTGGCACGCACTTTGGTTACCTGCGAGCACACTTTGCTGTTCGTAATTTCCGGCATTTCAGCCTTCACATCTCGGCAGTTTTCAAAGTTGGGCTTATTCGGAGTGAAAGGAGCAATTTGTCCTTGTAGAGTGGTGTTCCACAGCGGCCGTACTCCAGATCGCCGAAGCGCGCTGCGGCCCCTAGGTGCCAGGGGTGCCACGTTGAAGCGCGGAAGAGCTGAAGATGCAGGGCGCCAGAAGTTCCGAACTAATTATCCCCCAGCAAAGGTCTCCTGGCCGCTGCCAAAGCTGTTCACGGGGAAAAGCGATCGACGAGGCTGTGGACTTCCCAAAGCTCCGCTGGGAGGTTCTTCCAACGTACCTCTGGGAACCAATCCAAACGCTTGGCAATAGTCCCAAGTGCCGAAACAGGACGGAGCCTCTGGCGGGCATCCGGGCTCAGGCCCTTAACCCTGTGACCGGCTCTGCGAGCCTTCAGCCTGGCCAAGCTGGAGAAGCCAACGCAAGCCTTCAGGTGCTTGCTGAGACTGTTCCGACATCCCCTGGAGAGCGTGACATCGACTTCAATCAAGAAGAGGGCAACTGCGAGACCATGCCTGGCGGCAGCAGCAGCAACGATAGTGACAGCTCTGCTTTGGACTCGTCGGTTGAAAATATGCTGGCCAGCAGCGAGGACCCTGACGAGAAGACAACAGAGGGGAATGAAGACACCCTGGAAAGCTATGAAAGATCCACAAACGCCGACAGTGACTGGGTTTTGCAAGGGACGTTTCCGCAGCAGTTCGTCTCCTGTGATACATCCCGTGCAAAGACCGTTTCCCTGGCTTCGCTGGACACGCAGAACGAAGTCGATGCATTCTTTGAGGAGGATGTGATTGACTTGGGGTTAGTGGACTCAGAAGGAGCTGGTGAGGAGAAACAGCATGCAGAATATGACATTTCAGATATGTGGCACGGCGTCTGCCGCCTCCACGGCCTGGACAGCAGAGCTTTGCATGAAGCAGACAAACGAGTGTTGGGAGCTAAAGGCGACACCGACGACTGGACAGATGTTGGGATCCGACCATTAACTGGCAAGGAAGAGCGTGAGGGCTGCGTGTGCAGCTGCTTGGTGCCAGACAATGCGGTCTTCGGCAAAGATGCGCGCACTGAAGAAGTGCAACGGCAGCTTCAAGGAAGCCCCCAGGGACCTCAAGAGCTTCAGACATGTCACGAAGAGCAGGAGCCCAAAGAAGGGACCGAAGAGGCGTCTGAGGAGGGCGGAAGAGTGCCCAAGAAAGAAGAAGGCGAAACGAAAACGTCTGCAGAGAACAACGCCACGCTTCGCGAAGTAACCAACTGCAGAGTGGAGCTGGCAGTGCAGCGCATAGAGGAACAACAAATGCGAAGGCTTGAAAGAGCCAACCTAAGCTTTGCGGAGTCCGGCCGCTTTGAGGCTGAGGTTTTGCGTAAGAGGCTGCTCTTTCCCCCAGGATCCCGAAAGTGACTGCAGTCGGCACTGGTAAGTGTGAAGTGACTTCAACACGATTTCAACAATGCCTCAGTCAAACCAGGAGGTCTCCTGTGGGGCGACACTGCCACATGCAGCATTAAAAAGGCCCCAAGGAGGCAGCTAGGAGCGCAAATAAATACATACATGTCGGAGTTACTGAATATTGTGCACACGCGAGACAAGCCTCCGGTCTCGACCCAGTAGCTCACATGACTGCCATTTCTTCGGCTGCAATTTGCAGCAGTATTGACCAACAGTGGTACTCATACCCTCATGTACAGGAGATGGCCCGGTAGTAACAAGGCTTGCAGATGGGGTGATGCTTTCTTATGTTCGGCTGCGTTGGCCAGCTCAGTGAGCAAGCCAGCGCCAGCCAAAGTTCACGTTTTTTACACATAAGGGTTTGCGTACCGAGCTGACAGTGCCAGTGCACCTCAGGCATGCATTCGCATGCACCCCACAGCTCATGTTGTTCCGCAGTACCGTTCGCGCGTGCAGTGCAGCATCCGCTAGCTTTGCAGTGAGCTGGGGCCGAACGCACCCGTCTTTGCAGGGCCCTCTAGCGATGACTGTCATGTTAAGGTGCCCGTAGAGGCTCTCTAAACCTCACTCTTTTGGCTATGGTGTTGAGCTGTAAGTTTGGATATAAAACTGATGTCGGAACTCAACCTACTGGTGCATTCCACGTAGTAGCCACTTACTAGAGTATGGCCATTGCCTTTAGGTGTCGAGAGCCATCAAATAAATATGAAGTGCTGGCTAGCGAAGTTGGAGCTGCTCGTTACATCGACCCAAAGACGCCGCACGGGTCAGAGCGCAATGGGCACGCCTATTGCTCCAACAGCCCCCAGCATACCTGACTGGAGCCACTGGTGCTGCTTTTACGGTAGCGGCAGCAAGCTGCCGCTAACAACAAGCCAAAACCCTGATTGCAAACTGTCAACCTGCCGGCACGTTTGGCGTTCACGTGCCGCACCATTGGGCTGGTGCGGTACTCACCCCTTGGGGTCGCAGCGCAGCACACACAGCTGACGCTGTCTGACCCTGCCAAGACTGTCAAGAATACGAGAGGGAGCTCCGGCCAGCTGTTGCACTGCTACAAGACGTGCGCACTCGGCATGCCTCTTGAAACGGGCTTTGCTCTGCTCGTCTCAGCGCCACCACAACTACGGCGAGAGACGGGCAAGCAGCAGCAGCACGGCTTCTGCTGTGCTGCGACGTCGCCGCCTCCCTTAAGCCCCTTTCTCTATCCCTTACCTCCTTTTCATTTCCCGCTACCCAGCAGCCGCCATTCGGCGGCCTCGGGAAACCTTCACAGCGTCTGTCTTCTTTGCCGCTGACGCAGCTGCTGCAGCAGCTGCACGGCCCGTCTGTGCTCTTCCGCTGACAGCGGACATGAAAACAATGCTGCCGACAAAGCCTGAAGAAGAGTCGACTGCTGCCGTCCTGCGCTTCGCAGATGATTACAAAGAAGCCAGAGTCCACTGTCTGGCGGCCCAAGTCTCACCGCCAGCAGCGCCGAGCAAGCTAGTTAGCGAAGTAGATCGGTAGAGATCTACTTGGCTAGCTAGCTAGCTAGCTAGCCAAGCAGATCGGTAGTCGCCTAAACTGTAACTGTGTATTGATTGACGATCCCATTCACATCTGTCGTCATTCCAGGGAACAGACTCTGCAAATCCCGCTAGTGCGACGCTGCAAAACTTCTGTCCCTGGCCATCGGCGGCACGCTAACCACTGCTGGGGAGGCCCCAGCTTTAAATGACTGGACAAAACCCTTGAGAGCCTCGTGGAGTTGGTCAGTGCTAATAGAGGCATCTGCTGCTCTGTCCGGGAGGTGGCTGCTCTGGCTATGCTGCCGCAGCCTCTCCTCCGCCACGGCTACCTGCCGCTGCAGCGCGGCCCACTGCTGCAGACTGGCGCGGGCGTTGTGGTGGCTGTCGCTGCACACCGTGCCCGCAGTCAGTGCTGCTTCCCTCGGATGGCAGGGGTCCCATGCCTCCGGAGCCGTCGGGTCTAAGGCGGTGGGGGGCTCTCCTCTGGCCATCCTCTTCAGCGGTCTGTAGTACGCGGGGTCATCTGGCCCCGCCTCCACTCCAGCCAGCGCTGCATAGCTCACATTCCGCGTCGCTCTCCTGACTGTACCCGCTCTTCCACTCCCGCTGCTCTGTCTCGCTGCTGCTGCTGCCGTTGCCGCGGCTGCTGCTCCAGCTCCCCGCAAGGACGGCTGAAACTCCTCTTCTTCCTCCCGCTGCGTCACAGCCCGCCGGCAAGATGCCCCCGGCGACGCCCCCACCACACCTCCAGGGGGCCTCAGAGCTGTAGCCGCAGCCGTCGCCGGGCTAACAAGGCCCCGGGCTCGCTGCAGCCCCGCAGCATCCTCCGAGGCGCAGACCCTCACAGCTGCTGCTGGCCCCGCTGTCCTGCGGGAGCCGTGGAAGTCACACTCGGCCACAGAGCTCCCTCTGGTGATGTACGCGCCCTCCTCGCCGCGGCCACGACCCTCCCCGCCAGCTCCCAACTCCGAGCCCGAGCCCCTCCGAGAGTTCCCGGAAAGAAAACCAGCTACAGGGTCGTGCGGGCGTCGCCGCGATGCAACAGAAGAGCCTCCAGCAGCCCCTGAGACGCCCCCGCCCTCGACTTGGGCGCCACCCGCCTCCACACTGCGCCCCCTCACTGCGGAATTGCTGCCCATACTGTGGCCCGATGTGCGCAGCAGAAAACGAGATATGTCACTGCTGGTCGGGTAACGGCTGCCGGTGTTGCCTACCCACTCCCACGACTCGCTGCCTTCAGGTTCCAAGGCAGCTCCCGAAGGGTCCAGGCCCCGCTGGCTCCGGCCACCCTGCATGCAAAAGAGCAAACGCACTAAAAGGAGCGCAATCACCACGCGAAAATATCAACAGAGCGGCAGGTCACACCCTAGCTGACATGTCCCCTTTGCATAGCGCTGCATCACTGACGCATGACTCTTTCTTTCCCTCAACCCGCCTCTCAGCAGCCTCGCTGGAATAAGCAAACGCTGTTGAAGAGTAGTAACAGTGACATTTAGGCTGTTTCCTAGGTTTTCAGTGCAAAATATGGATGCAAACGTAAATACTAATATTTGCCCAGGTGCTCTCTAGTGTGGGCCGCGTGTACCTCAGTGTTGTTGCTGTTGTGGATGGTCGTTCCAGCGAAGGAAATGCCTTGTTTCCTTAGTCTCTCGGCCTCAGTTTCCTGCTCTTCTACGTACAGTTCCTTGGCTTGATCAGCTGCCCTGACTGCGGCCCTAGCAACGTCAAGCTGCCAGTCTACGGCCGGCACGTTGGCAGCCGCCAGGTGGGGCAGAAGGCCTCGGAAGAAGGGTAGAGCCTTGGCCAGCAGCTCCCGGGGAGGCGCCGAGTCCCCGCCGCTGCACAGCAGACTCGCGAGGTGGTTGATGCCCAGCACACTCGCACGGGCTGCGGACTCCGGAGCCCCCTGGCCGCTGACTACGGGCTGCGGCGGCTCTGCTGCATGCGTGGCAGCATACATGGGGTCCGCCATGTCTTCGCTGCTGGCAGCAGACCGGCTCTCAGCCACGGGCGCTGCGGTGGAGCGGACAGTGTGGTAAGGATTGTCGAGCACCACAACGCCTTCGGCTGAGCCCTCCCCAGGGTCCCTGGTGGCTGCCTGCGACCGCTCCGGCTGCTGCGCATCGCTGGGGTGCGGCAGCAGCACGGGGGGAACATTGGAGTGCTCGTACTGGGGGAGGCAGAGGCGCCAGGTGCCCTGCAGCAGCGCGGAGAAGTCGAGCTCGGGCTGCAGGTAGCGCAGCAAAAGGGGGTGGGTGAGGATGTGGCGCGCAGAGCCGTCGTAGGGCATGTAAATCACAATGAAGGGGGGAAAGAACGTCCACTCCCGGCTATCCTCTTGTGTCTTGTACTGCCACCGCTTGGCGTTCGCTTCAGCTGTGTCCCCTCCACTGCCCGAAATCCCCGCGCAGCCGCTGCGTCTCATCTGGTCTGGAGCCGCAGGGGTCAACGCCCTGGGAATCGCCCACACGAACGAACTGCCTCCCACCAGCCGCGGCCTCTGGCCGGGCTCCTTGAAGATCCCGTTGTTGAACAAGTCGTACGGAAGCTTGTAAATAATGCGGCCCGCCACAAGGGCAAATTCATTAGACGCGCCACCCGTGCGCAGCACCATCACCCGCATGGCCCGCACTAAGCAATTTGGCCGCAGCCCTTCAACAGGGCCTGCGGCCTCTGCACACCCCGCGAGTCTGCGGCCAATTAACACCGTTCGCCCCGCCCCGCCTTCTTCTCTTTCCCGCGACTCCGCCATGACGTTTTTGGCCCGAGACGCCTGGTCTAAAGAGAAGTACACATCCTGCACCACCACATCTACGAAGTACGCCCGAACTACGGAATCTGCAGGCAGCGGCTCCTGCTGCGATGGGTTTGAGACCGTCAGACCCACTGACAAGCACGCGCCTGGGTATATGTCCCGAGAAGGGTCCACCTCAGGTGGCAGCAAGCGCCACGCCCGCTCGCGAGGGCATGGGCACGGCATGCGGGAAGGCACGAAGTCGCGCACGTGACACACGAAATCCTGCAGGAGCAAGCCGCACAACACCAAGTGACAAGTTGTAAACAAAAAGGCCAAATAATGATAGAATCGGCTAACAAACAGGCGAAATACACAAGTGTGCAAGAAAAACAAGGACAACCCATCTAGCACAACAAACACACCAAGCAAATGATGACAGTTCAGAAACGTTCATCGTACTTCGCACGTAGAACACGCCCAAAGCCAGTCCGCTAAACCCTTTAGTGAGGCACTCCGGCAGGTTTTATATTCCATAGATCAAGGTTAACTGCCCATGCTTCGGGTGAGTCACATAGAGTGTGAAAAGCAAGTTTGAGGTGGAGCTCATGGCCCCCACTAACATTCTCTATCCCATTCAGAGCTACGTGCAGTGAACATGGGACTCTAGGCTCAAACAAATACTTTCAACGTGAATTTTATGATCACAGCAGCCGTTACAACAACTAAAATAAGCGCATCTGTGCCTTGCTGGTGTGCCTAAACCCTGCACTCTGCGCCCTAACCTGAAGTCCCTTATACTACCAAAGCCCAAGTCCCGAGCTGCAAGCCCCACAAAGGCGTGTTAGCCTCACCTTGGGTTCGCCCGGCGTGAAGCACCTGGCCCTGAAATCACCGCCTTGCAGAAGCTGCACCACCTCGCAGTCTCTCCACAGCATTCGGCCCGAGTCCCCCGCCTCTGAGCGGCCCCACCCCACCCACGTGGCCACCTGAATGGGAAGACCTGCGGCGGCAGCCAGCACAAGCGCATGCACAGCTCCTGAAGCTGAGGCAGCAATCAACACGCAAAGCGCCCCATACAAGTGCTGCTGCTGCTGCTGGTGCTGCTGCTGCGGGAGCTTACCGACAAAAACCCTTTCAGGCAGCGCGTCGGCCCTCGGCCACATCTTGGGGGCTGTTGCAGCTCCGAATTCCTCCAAGAGGAGGTCCAGTGGTTCGTCTCTGGCGTCTTTAGCAGCAGCAGCTGCTGCTGCGTCTGCCCGCTGCGCCTCTGCGGGGATCCTGAGGTGGCGCTGCTGCAGCGCCCACCGCCTGTCAATGGTGCCTCCGACGAATCTGGTGAAGTGGGGTTCGAACCCGAGAGTGGCGGGCTGGCCCTGCTGCAGCTGCCGCTGCAGCGAGAGAGCGGGACTGATTGTGGGCAGCTGCCGCGTGGGCTCTGCAGCCACTTCTCCCAGAGCCTCGTCCCTGGCCGCAGCACAGGGGCCTCCCCCGGGCTCCTCCTCCGCCTCGGCCCACTCGTCTGCGGCTCCGGGGCTGAAGCTGCTGCCGGCGGCGCTGCTGGCCGCAGCAGCAGCAGGAGCAGCAGCAGCAGCAGCGCGGGCCGCGCCGCTGCGGTCGAGGAGGAAGGCGTGGCGGACGGAGCGGCGGCCCTTGGAAGTGGCGACGCTTTCCCTCTGGAAGCGCCTGCGGCGCATGGCAGGGTCTGCTGCAGCAGCAGCAGCCTGGCCCGCAGGCTGCTGCTGCTGCTGCTGCCCCGCAGCCTGCCGGTCGTGCAGCTCCGCCAGAAACAGCAGACACCGCCACGCACACAAACGCCCCTGCGCCGAAAGCACCCCCATGCGCACATCTCCTTGAAACAAACTGAAGAGAAACATGGCGGCCCTGGCCAGGCTCATGGGGCCCCTGTGTTGGCTGATGGCCTCTGCGCTCACGAACGAAGCTGCTGGCAGCAGCAGCTCCTGTCCGTCGGCCTCCCACGAGTCCAGATCGTCGGAGGGCGACAGGAACAGCGAGGCCACGTCCACGGCCACTCCCCCGCCCTCTTTGCCTTCGGGGGGCCCCCGGGGGGCCCCCGGGGGGCCCCCCGCCTCCTCTTCAAACGGGGTGCATGCGGACCGCGGGGGGCCCCCGCTGCTCGCCGGCGAGCCCTCCCGCTTCACTCCACCCCCAGCAGCAGCAGCAGAGCCCTCCGCTGCTGCTGCCGGACGCCCCTCCGCCGCCGCTGCTGCTGCTGCGGCGGCGGCTCCACGCGGGGTGCTCTTTGGGGCCGCGCGCGCGCGGGAGCACGCGGCGGGCCGGCACGCCTGCGGCTGCTGCTGCTGCTGCTGCTGCTGCAGCTCGTCTGCAGCGGAGGGCTCGCGCCGGGCCTGGAGACTGTGTGCAGCTGGCTGCTTCTGTGAATGGTCTGCGGCGGCCTCGTGGCTGCCGCGCCGCGCCCGGTCCAGCCCGCGCTCCTGCTGCTGCGGCTCCAGCCGCTGCTGCTGGTGCTGCTGGTGCTTTGGGGCCGCGGAGGGCGAGAGGGAGCGCGGGGCCGGGGGGGAGGGCCCCCCGGGGCTGTCGGGGGCCCCCAAGGCCTCCTTCGGAGGACAGGGCGGCGGGTCAGGGGCCCCCGAGAGGCCCGAGGCGGCGAAGGCCATGGCGGCGGCTTCGGGGGCCCTGGAGGGCCCCTTGGGGGCGGGGGCTGGGGCGGGCGGCTGGGGCCGCGCGGAGCGCCGGGGGCCCCCAGGCCCCTGGGGGAGCGGGAGGGGGCCCCTGGAGAGGCAGAGCCGCGGGCCGGCGCCGGGCAGACAGAGGGAGGCCCCGGAGGCGGAGGGCGCAGCAGCGGAGGCGTCGCTCAGCAGCGCCGCAGCAGCAAATCCGAAAACGCAAGGGGAGCCCCTTCGCTGCGCATTGGGAAGGCACGGCGGGCGCGGGGGCGCGGGCGGCGGCCGCTGCGCAGCGCTGCACACGCGGCGGCGGGCGGCGGCGGCGGGCGGGCTGGGGGCCCCCGAGGCGGCGCGGGCGAAGTGTTAAGCAGAAAGGGAAAGCTGGAGGAGCTGCGGGCCCGAAGGCGCGGGAGAAGGCGGGCGGGGGGGTGGGGGGCTGGT